TAGACTTTGACCCAAATTTTAGTGACTTTCGCTTTAAATTCTAATTAGATTGTGCTCTTTTCAAAAGAGGACGGAGCTACAAATGCCGGTTCTAGTGGCTGAAGTCTGCTTCTCACCTAAGCTGACTTTCCACTGCACACGACAATCGAACACGACTGTCTGAATATGTCCCATTGTGGGAGTCGCACTGAATTTTCAGTTTTGTCATGATTCTCGCGGTGTCCAAAATAAAGGAGTGCAAATGCAAATGCCATATTCTCTGTGCGTTCACATGGATGAATGAATAAATGAAAACTAAAAACTCAATAGGCCGCAAAAAAAAAAAAATAAATAAATATTACTCATGAATAGAAATGTTTATATATATATATATATATATATATATATATATATATATAATCAGACTTTTTTCTGATTAAAAAAATAACAAAAAAAAAACCTTCCATTTTCTCATTTCTTTCGAACCAGTTTGGACAACACTGCCGGTCGCATATGATCTAGTCACAGGAGTTCAAATATTTCAACAGATCCGCATCTCAAATCCAAATTGCATGCAGAGATGATTGTAACTCCATGCAGCTATACCGGACTACTCCATTGAAAATTAATGTCCTCCAGTAAGTTGTTTGTCGTGTACAGTGAAAAGGTGGCTTTAGGGTTCTTCATGCTAATGAGGGAAAGATCGTCACTAATGGGTGGGGCTTACCTCTCTGATGACACATACAAATTGAGAATGTCAATCAAAGTATTTCTGCTATTTCTTTTATAAAGTGTGATTATAAAAAATAAAATGAATTAATTTTTACCATTAGCTATGGCTAGGCTGAATATATTCACACACTGTTGCCACACAAATGTGTTTAAACCCCTCACAAAAGTGATTTTTGCATAATAGGTCCCCTTTAAAGATCTGTATTACGTTAATTAAAATTTAAGAGAGTAATTCCAACATAACGCCACCAGATGTCGCAATTCTAATATAATTTCACTTTATTTATTTTTTTCAAAATAAAAAAAAAGACACATTTTTTAGGTTTTTAACTTTATATCTAAGAAATCAATCCATTCTACTAGTAAAAATGAAACACTAACATTTCCAAAGTAGCCTACAAATGAGACAAGCTGTTCCCAGGATGTTTTCAGTGTCTTTCTGAGCTGCTGAATGTCCCAGTAGAGGGCCCTACTTTACACCCTCAGGAGACTACAATCTATTAGTCATTCCACTGAACTGAATAATTCATAGAGATCTGCCATGTTCTTAACAGACTTTTTCCATAAAGTGCCCAGATTACATTAAACGCCTATTCCCAATCAGCCGATTGCATAACATCATTTCTTAAAGCGCAGTATTTGTCATTGTACTGTGAAAACACTTTGGCTCTTAACAACCACCGCTAAATTATTCTAATACAGTTTCTATCTAGCACACATAGGCCTAATATAATACAAAAATAACTATAATATGGTATTAAAAAGACAAACTCACTCCCATATTAATATTTATGGGCATTAGCTGGCATTAATCCTGGTTAATTGTTAATCAGTATGCCTTCTGTTAATTAGTTCATTCATAAGCTCATATGAATGCTCTGACAGTGTTCTCTTACACAGGGTGGGTGTTCTCTCCTTATTTTTCAGAATCAGCATGTGCATAAATATGGATCACATTCATCTGAATATAGCTCAGAGCTGAACTAGGCTACGCATGTGCACACATAGAAGACTCCAGACGGCACAGACTCCACTTGCAATGACTTTCCATTAACATGCTATGAAACATGCTTTATAGAAGAATACAATTTTAACAGATTTTTATTTTTTTGACACTTACTTGCATGGTATTTGCAATTTTATTCATATTGTTTCAGCTTTTATTACAATAAGTACGTTATTACAATTAGCTAAACTTAAGAACTCCTTTGGCACACTTCATTCATTCATTCATCCATTCATTCATTTTCTTTTCGGCTTAGTCTCTTTATTAATCTAGGTTCGCCACAACGGAATGAATCGCCGACTTATCCAGCACATGTTTAATGCAGCGGATGCCCTTCCAGCTGCAACCCATCACTGGGAAACATTCACACACTCTCATTCACACAAACATACACTACGAACAATTTAGCTTACTCAATTCACCTGTATCGCATGTCTTCGGACTTGTGGGGGAAACCAGCCTGATCTCACGAGGAAACGTAAGTATTTTACGTTTTTCAGTTTAGTGGCTAATTCGTACAAATTCATTCGAGTTCAGTCGTACGAAAATGTACGATTTAAAAAAGGAGGCGTGGCACCAAACCCCACCCCTAACCCCAGCTGTCATTGGGTGATGAGCAAATCATAATAAATTGTACGAATTAGATCGTACGAATTCATACGAATTAGCCACTAAATCAAAAAGTTACAAATTTTCGTGAGATTGCGTTGGGGATAACCGGTGCACCTGGACAAAACCCACGCCAACACGGGGAGAACAAGCAAACTCCACACAGAAATGCCACACTGACCCAGTCAAGGCTCGAACCAACAACCTTCTTGCTGTGAGGTGACAGTACTACCTACTGCGCCACCGCGTCGCCCCCTTTGCATAAATTATCAACAGGGTCCCCGAATTAACGCTGCTGAATTAACGCTTGTGACGGTCACGGAAATCACGCTCGGTAGGAGTGGGGGGTTGTGACAGTCACTGAAATCACTGTTGTGACTGGGCCCTTATCGCAGTGCCCCTTTGTCACACTTATAACACGCTTTTTCCATTATTGCTATATATACATATTATACTATTATAAATGTACTGTCTAATGTAAAGTTGGAATGTTTAATTTGTCAAAGAAGCATTACAATAGTACACTTAAAATAATAGTTAACTCAAAAAATGTAATTCTGCCATCCTAATAGAATATGATTTGAAGAATGTTGGTAACCAGTAGTTTTGACAGTCTGCTACAGGTTGCCAAGAAATAGGCCTATATAATGTGAAAAAAGAGGAAAGAATCAGATAAAAGAGCGAGTAAATAAGTTTTTTTTTTATATTTGGGTGAACTATATACCTTTAAGTGGTCTTTTCACTCAGTTAAATATAATCCATGAGTGCATGTACAATGCACTTAATGACAACATGTGTACATTAAATACAATAAGGTGCACTTCTTTTCATTGAAGCTCTTTAAGCTCAGAAAGGTTTTCCAGAAGAGTAACCAAGTAGCTCATCAAATCAGTTTCTAAATAAATTTAGACAAAATAGTCTATTCATAATTTAATAACTATTATTTTTAAATATTTAGATTTTAAGGAGCCCTGTTAATTGTCATATTCTATCCACCTTGCTTATATGGCAAGCCATATTAACATTTAATCTATAAAACATAGCATAGTGTCTATTTTTATGCTACAGAAATTTGTAATTAGGGCGACACAGTGGCGCAGTAGGTAGTACTGTCGCTTCACAGCAATAAGGTCACCGAGTTGCTGGTTCGAACCTCGGCTCTGTTGACGTTTCTGTCTGGAGTCTGCATGTTCTCCCTGCGTTCGAGTGGGTTTCCTCCGGGTGCTCCAGTTTCCCTCACAGTCCAAAGACATGCGGTACAGGTGAATTGGGTAGACTAAATTGTCCGTAGTGTATGCGTGTGTGTATGTGGATGTTTCCCAGATATTGGTTGCGGCTGGAAGGGCATCCGCTGCGTAAAAATGTGCTGGATAAGTTGGCGGTTCATTTTGCTGTGGCGACCCTGGATTAATAAAGGGACTAAGCCGACACGAAAATGAATAAATGAATATGTAATTAATTAGACCTTTCAAAAATATACGTCACAATCACGCCCATACAAGAGCAAGCTCCTGATTGGTTAACGCATCGCGAATGTCTTCTGAAGTGCAGATTTTCGAACTTGAGTGAAAAACGCTCAATTCGCCCCGCACCATTCATGTGTATTCACACAATTTGTGCTGCAGGATGTCTATTCGCGCGTTTGCATTGACTTATGTAAATCACTCGCGCTTGACGCGCGTTCCGCGTCTAGTGTGAACGCAGCATTACAACTGTAGCCTAATGTTTTTCATTTCTTTTAAAGATTATTTGTTCTTTCGAGGTGGCACCATTCCTCCAAAAGAGGTGCATGGGGCAGAATTTGATGGGGTGTCTTAAAAGGTAATAATATTTAAATTAATAAATTAATTTTAAACCATAATATGTTATATATTGTCTATCTACTTCATTTGGAATTATATAAAATTTAAGAATTTCATATGATGAGTGATGATGTAATTTATAGTCAATACTCAAAATGTAATACTAATGCAGAGATTAGATGAAACACAACTAACCAGCTGAAAGAGGAATTTCAAATGGATGTTAAACCAGTCAGATAACATGAAGCTGTGTTGCACAGACTGATATCAATTCATGACTTCAAAGCATTATGAAAGAGCAGTTCAAATGTATAAAGTTCTCTTCTCAGTGGGCTTTTATATGCAATTTTGAATAAGCCAGCTCAGGCATTTCCGGTGAACTGTCATTATAAAATTGCTGCGTTTAAGAGCTGATTTGTGTAAAGTCAATAGTCTTCACTGCCTGATTGAGTTATGATATGTGGTTTTCAAATCCGGACAGGAAGCACTGTATTAAATGACATTGTTCTGCACCATGTCGTAAAAATATGGAAATTACTTTACCACAGTATTCTTAATTAGATTTCTGTTGACGGCACTTGCACTTAAACAGATTTTCATCTCGTTTTACGTTTGAACAGCTAAATTAATGCTTAAATCTATTTAACTGGTTATATTTAAATTAAATTACATTATCAATGCTGTAAAAGAAAGATTATGACATTAAAAATAGTCACATCAACCTTTCACCGGAACTGTATTAGTGGCTTAAAAACAATTTCCGTTCTCATATGAAAGCAGATAGCCTACTGCATTTTAGAAGTTGAATGTTAAACCGGCTTGCCATAACACGCCTAAACACAGCGACAAAACGCGAGAGCTTCAAGTTCAGTGTTCGGCTTTTTCCGGCTGCAGTCGGCTCAGGGAATGCAGACGCCGAAGCATGCAGACTGTAGTGTAGCCAGACTGGCACATAAAAGGGGGGAAAGGGGATAAACAGCTCCAGCGACCGGCTAGAAGCAGCGGCGACCGACAAAAGCGGCAGGTAAATCATTCCGAACATAGCAGAAACAGCTTTTCTCTGTACTGGTACATGTTTGACACCTCAATATTACTGTACAGGTAGACGTTGTCGCATTCCATGACAGTGACTGGGCGGACCTAAACTGTCTCCCACCGGCCCGTAGAGCTCATTTAACACATGAACAAGGAGAAATACTGGCAAATGTCAATAATAGGAGTCAAGCGAGCGGCTTGTGAGGGATCAGAGCTCTGAGACTGGCTGGCGGAGCCCCGTTAAGACGCACAAGCGGATTAGGACTCGCGAGCAGGTGCCTTTGTTGGCTCGCGCCGTTGCCAGTGGAGACCCGCAGTAGCCCGACGCGCTTCTGTAAAATTAATGCCTGCAAATGAGCGTCTCTTCAGTGCACGGAGGATAACACGCGTCTGACAGGTAAGAAACATGCTGCAGCCTTGTGCTTGATGTTTTTGGCAAGTCCTTTCAAGAACAAACATACAAACTTTCCTTATTGTGCGTCAGTTTGAAAGTGTTGGTCTTATGTACTCGCTGTTAGATGACAGAATAGTGTAATATGTTTATGAAGGCTTCATTATTCATTCACATTTACCCTCCTGCGCCTTTAAGAGTCATAACTGTTTGTTTGAATAACTGTGCGCATATCAATGGGATGCAAAAGGCAGCAAAGGAAGATTTTTAATGCACGTAAGGACCTGTAAACTGATATCTTATTTAAATAAGACGCAGCATGTCAGCTATAAGCAGTTTGTGAATTGGCTGCACGAGAGTGAGGTGAAGTATTTTCACGCACGAGCAGATGGTCTCCGTTCAGACTGCCGAGTAGTGGGGATTTTAGCTGATGCAGTATCTCTCTCTCTCTCTCTCTCTCTCTCTCTCTCTCTCTCTCTCTCTCTCTCTCTCTCTCTCTCTCTCTATCTCAAACACACACACACTCATATTCACACACTGTTGGAAGGTGTTTCTCATGTCTGCAGCATTGAAGAGTCATCTCTGCTATCTATCTATCTATCTATCTATCTATCTATCTATCTATCTATCTATCTATCTATCTATCTATCTATCTATCTATCTATCTATCTATCTATCTATCTATCTATCCATCCATCATTTCTTTCTTCTTTCCATCCATCCATTAGATTAGATTAGATTAGATTCAACTTTATTGTCATTACACATGTACAAGTACAATGCAACGAAATGCAGTTTAGGTCTAACCAGCTGTGCAATAGCAGAGAGTGGAGGATACAGGTATAAGTTATAAAGTACAGTTATAGAAAATGGTGATATTTACAGATGGATGTACTATGAACATACAGGTTGTATTAGCTATGAACAGAGATTTACAATGAATATATGTACAGATTGCTATTAATAATCAGAAGTGTGCAGAGAGATAAACATGATTACAAATGTGTATGTACAGTGGGTGTGTACATAATTACAGATGTCCATGTGCAGAGGGTATGTACAGTCCTAACAAGTAAATAAGTGCAATGTAGTGCAATGAATATATGAAAATCTCAAATATGCAAATGTTAAACAGTGCAGTGATTGTGAGGAGTGTAAGTCAGAGGAGAGTGGGGGTGTATTGGGGGGCAAAAGAGTCAGTGAGGGGCAGAGATCAAGAGGGAGACAGCTCTGGGGAAAAAGCTGTTCCTCAGTCATCCATCCATCCATCCATCCATCCATCCATCCATCCATCCATCCATCCATCCATCCATCCATCCATCCATCCATCCATCCATCCATCCATCTTTTCTTTCTTTCTTTCTTTCTTTCTTTCTTTCTTTCTTTCTTTCTTTCTTTCTTTCTTTCTTTCTTTCTTTCTTTCTTTCTTTCTTTCTTTCTTTCTTCCTTTCTTTCTTTCTTTCTTTCTTTCTTCCATCCACCCACACAACCACCCACCCACCTGCCCATCCATCCATCCATCCATCCATCCATCCATCCATCCATCCATCCATCCATCCATCCATCCATCCATCCATCCATCCATTCTTTCTTTCTTTCTTTCTTTCTTTCTTTCTTTCTTTCTTTCTTTCTTTCTTTCTTTCTTTCTTTCTTTCTTTCTTTCTTTCTTTCTTTCTTTCTTTCTTTCTTTCTTTCTTTCTTTCATCCACACAACCACCCACCCACCTGCCCATCCATCCATCCATCCATCCATCCATCCATCCATCCATCCATCCATCCATCCATCCATCCATCCATCCATCCATCCATCCATCCATCCATCCATCCATCCATTCTTTCTTTCTTTCTTTCTTTCTTTCTTTCTTTCTTTCTTTCTTTCTTTCTTTCTTTCTTTCTTTCTTTCTTTCTTCCATCCACACAACCACCCACCCACCTGCCCATCCATCCATCCATCCATCCATCCATCCATCCGTCCATCTATCCATCCATCCATCCATCCATCCATCCATCCATAAATCCATCCATCCATCCATCCATCCATCCATCCATCCATCCATCCATCCATCCATCCATCCATCCATCCTTTCTTTCTTTCTTTCTTTCTTTCTTTCTTTCTTTCTTTCTTTCTTTCTTTCTTTCTTTTTTCCATACACCCACACTATCTATCTATCTATCTATCTATCTATCTATCTATCTATCTATCTATCTATCTATCTATCTATCTATCTATCTATCTATCTATCTATCTATCTATCTATCTATCTATCTATCTATCTATCTATCTATCTATCTATCTATCCATCCATCCATCCATCCATCCATCCATCCATCCATCCATCCATCCATCCATCCATCCATCCATCCATCCATCCATCCATCCATCCATCCATCCATCCATCCATCCATCCATCCATCCATCCATCCATCCATCCATCTATCTATCTATCTATCTATCTATCTATCTATCTCCATGATCATCATGCAATTAGCTGTGTTAGTTGTATAATGTAAATGCTACTGTTCTTTAGTGGTTTATTGAATATTGTACTCTGGCCAGAACTATTCACATACTTTCCATCAAGCTGTATTTTCCATCATATGCTTGGCAACATCCCTGTTTGCTTTTGACAAAAACTCAGCCTTGCCCATCCTGTCTGTTTCTGCCCATCTCTGTTCTGTGTATATTATACTCATCAGCTGTATCTCTGGAGCTCAATTATAGACTTCATAATTAGGTTATTTTGTCTTTTTATCTTATTTATTTATTATACAGTTTTATTTATTATTTATTAATATATATATAATACAATGACAAAGGTCAGACCCATTTTGGTGTCAAATTAAATTCAGAAAAGGCTTTTATATACAAAGTAAACATGTTCAATGCAGATGTATGCTTTAATGTTTCAAATAACTTTTACAAAATGTCCAATCATCATTTAACATGGAGTTTTACGTATATCGAGTAACATATGGTGATTATGTATGAATGAATTTAACATACATTTTTACAACATACATTATAAGTGATCATATAAATTGTATTGTATTTAAGATTGTCATTCATTCATTCATTCATTCATTCATTCATTCATTCATTCATTCATTCATTTTTTTAGTCCCTTTATTAATCTGGGGTTGCCACTGTGGAATGAACCGCCATCTTATCCAGCATGTGTTTTATGCAGTGGATGCCCTTTTAGCTACAACCCATCGCTGGGAAATATCCATACACACTCATTCACACACATACACTATTAACCAATTCATCTATACCATATGTGTTTGGACTTGGGGAAACCGGAGAACCCAGAGGAAACCTACATGAACACAGGGAGAACATGCAAACTCCACACAGCAAACTGACCCAGCTGGTGCTCGAGCCAGCAACCTTCTTGCTGTGAGGTGACAGCGCTACCCACTGCGCCACCGTGTTGCCTATTTAAGATTGTCAAAAACTATAATGTACAATTTAATAAAAAGGTCAGGAAGTGGTAATTGTTTGTTTGATTTTTGGTATATTGATGTTAATAATGTCCTAAATCTTGTTTGAAATATACAATTGTCAGAAAAAAAGTTAAATTTTACAAACTAATTTTGAGAGAAGCAGGCGATAGGATTGACCGTGGCTGGTCTCTCATTCGTAATCAGCAATAATCCAATCAGATTGATTCAAGCCTGCAATAAATAGGCAGATTTTCCCCCACTACTTTATTTTCATTTTGGAAGAATCCCCCCTTCCACCCCATCACCTCCTTTTCCTTAATTATTAGGGGAGCTCTCCAGACCTAGCTGATCTCAGACCTCGTTATATGCTTATTGACCTTTCTCTGAGCTCAGGGTTATCTCCCGGGACAGCATGCCAAACCTGCTAATAGCGTCAAGCAAAATAAATGCGAACTCTTGAAATTAAGAATAAAATGGAGCTGGGCATATTGCAGTGTTTGGAAAAAAAGAAAAAAAAACATTTATTTATTCTTTCAATGCTTTTTAAAGCCCTGTTTCATCTGCCACCTGACACAGTATGTTGTTTTCTCAGTTCTAGGAGTTTTTAACCAATGCAAGTCCCGGCACCATGTTCTACGGTTCCTCATCTGCCAGCATGTCTCTGCCCTCCAAGAACCGCCTGAAGCGCCAGAGTCGCACTTTTACGCAGGTTCTGTACCGGACACTGAGTTACCGGGACCGCCGCTCTGTGACCGACTTACCTGAGCAGGTGCGTGATGATCCAGCGGAGCTCTCCACCCAATCCTCCGCCCCAGGTGTGCTGAAGATATTTGGTGATGAAATCAGTGCCGGCGCCAATTACAAAAGTGTTCTTGCTACACCTCGCTCCAGCGCCCAAGAGCTGATCAAAGAGGCGCTTGAGCGTTACTCTCTGAACAAGACCTCTGCCTGTAATTTTGTGTTGTGTGATGTGATCGGACGGTTTGAGGGTCCTGACCGGCGGTGGCGGACTGAGTGTCTTCGGGCGCTGGGAAACAATGAAAAGCCCCTTCTCCTGCAGGACCTCTGGAAGCCGAAGGAAGGTTTCTCCCGCCGCTTTGAGCTCAGACGGAGAGCTGAAGTAGAGGAGCTGGCAGCAAAAGAGAAGGACACAGTCACCGCAGGTAATGCACAGATGCAGTCATTCAGAAACATATGCTCAGGAGAGAACGCTCTTGTTATGTGGTTGTGTTTCCTAATGCAGTGTTTCCCAACCCTGTTCCTGAAGGCACACCAACAATACGTATTGTGGATGTCTCCCTTATCTGACAGGTTTGGGAGTCTCTTCTTATGTTCTGATTAGCTGATTTAGGAGTGTTTGATTAAGAAGAGGTTGAAAATGTGTACTGGTTGTGGTGTGGAGAGAAATGCGCTATATGATTACACATCATATTACATTACTGTGGTGTGCCTTTAGGAACAGGGTTGGGAAACACTGTCCTAATGAACTGCAAAAGGAGAATCTTGTACAACTGGGCTAAATGGAGTACATGCACATTGTGAATAATCTTGTGTTTAACTTTTCCAGACATCAGAAAAATGGGCTAATACTTTAGAATATTGGTCCATTAGTTAATGTATTTACTAACATTAACAAAGTATGAATAATCATAATTCAACATCAACTAAGGCATTATTAAAATCCATATTTGTACTTGTTTACATTAGGTAATGCACTTTGAGTTAGCATAAACTAGCATTATTTATGCTAAATCGCCTTAACTAACATTAACAAAGATCAATAAAAAATACAGTAATACATGTATTACTAATTGCTTGTTCGTGTTAGTAAATATCTTAACTAACATTAACTAATGGACCATTATTTTAAAGTGTTATACCAAACACTTAAAAAAAGTGTAAATATCAAAAAATGTATTATAATTACTGGATCATGACATATATTATCACTTTTTGATAATAGGATAATATTGATATGATAATATGATATCTATAGTCAGGGGCACCTGCAGGATTCTATTTAAACTTTCGCACTTATCCACCCCATCATCCCTGATTCTTATTTCAATCTCAGAAATGGACCGATGCTTGCTGTTAAAGGCTACGTTAATTAAGGGCATTGCCACGAGTTAGATGGAGAAAATGAAAGCACATCACTGTATCATAATTTTACTGTATCTTAATATTAATTATGTTGTTGGACAGTTATCTACTAGATCAGGGGTGTCAAACTCAGTTCCAAAAGGGCCAAAGCCCTGCACAGTTTAGTTCCAACCCTGCTCCAACACACTTACCTGTAGGTTTCAAACAAGGCTTAAGGACTCAATTAGTTTGATCTGGTGTGTTTAATTAGGGTTGGAACTAAACTGTGCAGAGCTGCGGCCCTTTTGGAACTGAGTTTGACACCTGTGTACTAGATGTCTGCTTATTTGTGCCAGTCTGTCAGATAAAATAGTTTAAAACACCTTGGCTGTTTCTCAATCTTGTGTCCTCGTGTTCTTGTGTAACGTCATCATCAGCTGCCAAAGTTCAGTTCCAATACTCAAGACCGCTAGAACAGAGGACGCTTGAACTTCCCGAATGTGTTCTTGATATGGAGGATCCATCGATGCAGACTTGAACACCAATCTTGCTCTAAAAGTCCCAGAAGTCATTGCGACTAGGGTTGTTTTTATTAAGATTTATTATTAAAGTTCAGAGATATCACTTATTTACCTCAGGAATTTCCCTAAATGAGACGGTGAATGTAAACATTACCATGGACATCTTAATAAAGTAATAAACACATTAAGGGAGTTTGTTTGCTGAAATTTGTATTAAAATCTGTTTTATTTATTTTGTGCAACGTATATTTATAATGATTTTAAGCATAGTATATATTTGTAAAAGGGGGAAAACAATAAATTGTTGAATGAATACTGTAATGTTAAAAAAAATCCATTTAAATCCCCGTGAAGGTCTCGTGACCATAAAGAAGAATGCATCATCTTGTTTCTCACAGTACGAGTTCTCTGTTCTCGCGGTCTCCCGAGTTCATTCTTCCGAGGACACCTGGCAAAACCGAACTCCTCAAGAACGCAAGTCTGTTCTCTGCGTTCTTGGCATTGAGAAACAGCCCTTGAATGGTAGTGGTTCCATGCGAGGAGACTGCGCAGCCACGGGCCGGGCCTGGAGTTCCCCTGGCTCAGGTGCTGATGAGACTGTGGTTTCCACTCTATGTGGGGAAGCAATATTTGTCTCATTAGTTGTAGGCCTTTTGGCAAATGTCTCAATTAAGTTTAACTGCTTTAAAGAGAGTTTACTCATTTTGAACCTTGTTTTAAACAATAGCTAGCTGAATTGTAATTTCTAGTGTGCGGAAAAATCGGCAGCAAAACTAAAGCCAATAGATCTCCAAGTACATACACACTTTAAAACACACAAACGCTCACCTTTATTTATTCTCATTCATTCTTGCTTTGTCAATATATCGTAGTGTATACTGTTTAATAATGTATTTAAATGATGTAATAAATAAAAAAGTTCCATTAACTCGTGCACTCTCATGGTAGATACTCACAGTGCGTACAGCCGTACGGCTGCAGGCGCCACTGTCTATAGTATAATCAAAGATGTTTTACAATAAACACATTTAAATAAAATAATAATTAAAAATTATTTTATAATAATAATTTATAATCATAATTATAATATGATAAATTATGTATAAAATAGCATAAACAATATAATTAATTTTATTATAAATAATATTATTTAAAATACAATTTTTCTCTCCATGGGAGCTGATACAGTCATCAATCTCAAGTATGAAGTTTGAATTGTTTTAGTAGTGACTAAGCTAAACACATACAGTACTGGTCATTGCGTTCATAAGCTCAACAGAAATGTGTGTGATTGGTTATTACTCCCTGCATTCTTGTCATGTCTGGTTTGCAGTGCAAGTTTGGGTTGACCAACTAGTTCTTCCTTAGTTGTTTAATCATCAGACTCCAGCTTGAACTGATATGTTAAAATCAACACTATAGTTATTGTGGTAAAAAGAAACTGCTGGAGCCACGGTTGCCAGTTTTTCACAGTCAAAACTAGCCCAATGGCAATCAAAACTAGCCCAATAATATCAAAACCTGCTTTCAGCAATAACACATAATGCATGATTACCCTCCATGTTTTGAATTATAGTCATGATTTGAAACTTTAGGTGGTGCATATTTGCCGAACAGAAGCTTTAAATCAGTTACCGCATCACTGCTTTAAAGTGCTGCGAGCTGGAGATAAGGCGTTGAGCATATCAGCACTGTTGTATAGATGTTGTGATAAATGCCACTACATCTTAATTGTTCTTTGTTGTTCACGGCTGCTCAGGTTCACTAATGCCGACACACAGATGTCAGAGCAGGTGCCAGAGATAGAAGCACGATTGGGTTTGCTGTAGTATGGCTGATCTCCAGTAGTTGAATTGAGGTCTCAGTTTCACTATTTTATTTTTGCTCTTTTATTGCAGACTAGTCATAACACTGCCATGCAACTCTGTCTCAGTCTCTCTCTTTCTCTCTCTCTCCTTCTGTTTGTGCCGGGATGCTGTTGTACTAAATTACAAATTCAACAAGGTGGCCATTGAGCCAAAACACAGGGTGGAAGTTAAATCAATATCCGCAGGCACATTACTCAGGATAATTTATCCTCAGGTTGAGCTCCTCTTCTTCCTGGTGGGATGGAGAGAATGCATGTGCGTGGTGGTTTCTATACCTTGGGGACGAATTTGCCCCAGAAGTGTGCTAAATCTGTGCTAAACCTTCCTTTGGGGATGTCTTGTAAAGGAAAACAATAAATAAAAATGAATAGAAATAAAATTGAATATAACTATATAAAGAAATAAAAACAATACATATTAATATTATTATTATATTAATAATATGAATAATTCCCAATATTATAAGTAATAATTCATTCATTCATTCATTTTCATTTTGGCTTAGTCCCTTTATTAATCCGGGGTCGCCACAGCGGAATGAACCGCCAATTTATCCAACATATGTTTTACGCAGCATGTGCCCTTCCAGCTGCAAGCCATCACTGGGATACATCCATACACACTCATTCACACACACACACCGCATATACAATGACATGAAGGAGAGAGGAAACCCACGCGAACATGGGGAGAACATGCAAACTCCACACAGAAATGTTAACCGACCCAGCCGAGGCTCAAACCAACGACCTTCTTGCTATGAGGCGAACATGCTACCCACTGCGCCACCACAACGCCCCAATAAGTAATAATAATAATAATAATTATGTGATCATTAATATCCTTATTTTAATTGGTAAAAATATGTTTGTGCAGTTTTTGTAAACTTCAAGGAATAGTAAACGATTTTAGAAATGCCATAATTTACTCACCCTGGTGTTGTTTCACTGGTTTTTCCAAATCACAAAATTAGAATTGGTTCAAAAGTCCATCAGTTAATTACCTGTTTTCTTGACTATATATTAGGGGTGTAACGGATCAGAAATCTCATGGTTTGCATTACATTATGGTTTTTTAGTCATGGATCAGACCATTTTTCGGATCAGTTTAAAAAGGGTTAGGGGACGTGTAATTTGCTTTCCATTTATTACAAAAACAGCACTGCAAGACGCTTTTGCTTAGAACTTGTAATTATAATGAAGAAATAATCAGCTGAAAAAAAGATAAAAAAATTACTGTTACTTCTACTGTTGCTAATAATGCTAAATGTATAAATCTGACATTATAGTTTGTACAATCCGTATTTACCTTTAGTTTCATTTTCAATAAATGATTCATCAATTCAATCATTTTTGAAGAATTATTCAGTGGCATATTTTTGAATGGCTGGTTGTCGCCACCTATTGGTTAAATAATGTGATTTCTGCCTACAACTTACATTTTCGAACGTCAAGTTAAATGCATATGATGATAATTTTAATCTTTACTATAAACTGTTAACCCAGGAATTCTGTGTTATTTGACTGTTTGTGAACTAAAAACTAAATCTCGTTCTTGATTTTTGTGTTTTTTAAACACAGATTTGAATGCAGCGATTCGAAGGATTAATAAACATATGCAAATCACCATCATTTATAATTTATGTTGCGTGGGTGTTATAATAATAATAATAATAATAATAATTCGTTACATTTATATAGCGCTTTTCTGGGCACTCAAAGCGCTTTACACAATGGGGGGGAATCTCCTCATCCACCACCAGTGTGCAGCATCCACCTGGATGACGCGACGGCAGCCATTTTGCGCCAGACCGCACACCACACACCAGCTGATTGGTGGAGAGGAGACAGAGTGATGATATGCCAATCATGATATGGGGAGGGTTAGGAGGCCATGATGGACAGAGGCCAGTGGGCAGATTTGGCCAGGATGCCGGGGTTAAACCCCTACTCTTTTTCGAAGGACATCCTGGGATTTTTAACGACCACAGAGAGTCGGGACCTCAGTTTAACGTCTCATCCGAAAGACGGCGCTCACTGAGCAGTATAGAGTCCCCGTCACTATACTGGGGCATTAGGACCCACACAGACCGCAGGTTGGGCACCCCCTGCTGGCCTCACTAACACCACTTCCGGCAGCAACCTAGCTTTCCCAAGTGGTCTCCCATCCAGGTACTGACCGGGCGCAGCCCTGCTTAGCTTCAGTGGGCGACCATGTGAGAGTTGCAGAGAGCTAGCTGCCGGCTGAGATCCTGATCTTTTAATGATTAATGCAGCTTACACTGAATGCATTGATGCAGATTACAAACAAGTAGTGACAGAAAACCCCTTTAATAAGAAAGCCACCACATCCCGAATAACCTAACTTCTTCCATCATCATTATATTTTACAGGAAAGCGTAAATGTTAATGCCGGGCTTGAGGTAACCCTTCAACTTGAATAAGTAAAAATATGAAAAACCAAATATACAGGAGACTCTTAAACTAACTGATTTTTGTAATATGACTAGCGTTTTGACCTCTATTTTAATGCAATGCTGTTCGGTTTCCTGAATGCACAGTCATGCAAAAATATATAAACATTTTTTTTTAGTTAATTTATGACCAAACCGTTTTGTTCACCCCAAAACAACCTAGAATATATGACACGTCACATAAGATCATTCTGTAACTTTTAAGTCTTTCTTGAAAAGCTTAATACTAGTTTCTAGCTCCTGTCATTGTAGTCTTTGAAAAATCATACATTTATAATCGGAAAAGTCCCAAAAAAGCAAATATCACATTTAAATAACACCAGGGTGAGAAATCATGACTTAGTTTTAAATGATTATGTAAACTACATCCAAGAACTTCATATTTGTTGCTTGAGTGTTACCTTCTACAGCAGTTAGCTTTAAAATTAGTCTGATTTGTGTAACTAGAAGATCCATTTAATTAGATATTCTTAACTAATGCCTGATGGAATCTTGGGAGTGTTTCTGTGAGCTTGCTACCGGTGCGTAATTTCTCAGGGGGTCCATGTTATATGCGCAGAGTTGTTGCAGTTCATCTCTACAAGCAATTGCGTTTTAATTAATGAAAATGTCACCGGCTTATCGGAGGATCTTAGTCCTTAAGCTTGTTCAAAGTGGTCTTCTTAAACCTGGCTTAGTCTCCTGCTGTTCCTTCATGCTGATGCTCCTCACATGTGCTCAGAAACGATTGTCCGTAGTGCTTTTCACAGTCAATAAAAAGGCCAGTGATGGTAAAGAAGGTGTAGATATATAGATCAAGGGCTTAGGAAGGTCACAGATGAGCAAAGGTGAGGAAGGGTGGATTACATTTGCAAGTCACCAGCACCATCTGCACACACACACACACGCGTACAGACACACACACACACATGCACACACACACATTACTAAGTGACAGATGCTGCTTGGGGGCTTCGTGGATCGTGTTGAGGTATTTACTAACAGAGGCACGTTTTATAACAGGTTTGGAATTGCCAGTTATGTCAGCATTAAATCATGAGGTCAGACTATTGTCCTACCAGTTTGTTCCTCAAGTAACCAATGATTCTTGTAACATCAATGCTATATTTCTGGTTGCTTTTGGAGTCCAGGATCTGTAAAAAAAATCTATTCAATTCAATGTATGTTTATTTCTATAGCGATTTTACAATGTATTGCGTCAAAGCAGTTTAACATAGAAGTTCTAGTAAATTGAAACTGTGTCAGTCCAGTTTTCCTAGTTGAAGATCAGTTTAGCTCAGTTCAGTGTGGTTTAAATGTCACTGCTGAAAGTCCAAACTCTGAAGGGAAAATCCATCAATCCGTAGCTCCACAAGTCCCAAACCAAGCCAGCCAGTGGAGACAGTGGCGGGGAACAAAACTTCACCAATTGACAAAATTGAAGGAAAAAACCTCGAGACAAACCAGGCTCTGTTAGGAATTTCAGAAATCAGTCTCATGCTCTCCGCTCCTCCATGACCGCCACAGCATCAGCTCAGGATACGACCAGGTCCAGGATTATAGATACCATGGCATCATTTCATCACAGGTCTTGGATCGCATTAATGGTGCTGCATAATCTGCAGAGGCCTTGAAATGAGTATCCCCAAGTGGAAATAGAGAATAAAGAAAATAATTAGCTGCTGTTCATAGTGTGTTTAAATGAGATGCTAGATTATAATGAAAATTATTGTTACATAAACAAACATGTAAAGCATATGAGTATGCTTACAAAATTCCTGGTGCATTAAAACAGGAGAATGTGTCTTACAACATGCCCACTCACCTGCTTGGAGCACACTCGTGCAACATACCATTATGTGATGCATTTTTACTAAAAAGATAGTTCTTTAATCTAGTTTTGAACTGAGAGATTGTGTCCGAGCCTCAGACATCATCAGGAAGGCTAATCCAGAGTTTAGGAGCCATAAATGAGAAGGCTCGACCTCCTTTAGTAGACTTTGCTATTCTAATTATTGAAGAATTTGTTATAGAATCAAAACCACATAAAATGCTAGACAGTGTAAAACATAAAATATAAACTTAGATTCAGCAACTATACTACCAGAATTTTGAAATAATAATGATTTTTTTATAGAAGTATCACTAAGCCTGTTTTTTAATAATCAAAAATAGAGCAAAAACAGTAATGTTGCATTTATTTTCAGTTAAAAAAATAATTTTCTGTTTTAATATCTTTAAAAATGTCATTTGTTTCTGTGTTGAATTACTCCAATCGTCGTTGTCACCTTCAGAAATAATAATCATAAGTTGATTTCTTATTATTATCGATGTTGAACAGTTGTGGTGCCTAATATTTTTGTGTAAACTGTGAACTGAAAGATGTAAACACTAAAATACATTACGCTAAAACAATTAAAAGAGACATTAAATTTATTTATAATGTTAGATTTGTTTTAAACTATTACATTTTTCACAAAAACATCATGCATCAAAACTGTTTTAACAGAACTATGATAATTGAGCATCAACATTGATCAATATCAATCAATAAAATTTGACCAACAGCCTATACATTTAAAAAATTTATTTCTGAAGGTCATGTGAAACTGAAAATCCAGCCTTGGCCAAAAATCTTCAACGAGAATCTCCAATCCGCAACAATATTTTACAGCTTCACTGTTAATACTACATTTTTTGTCAAACAAATGTGAATCCAGTGACGTTTTTTTTCATTTCCAAAACAATTGTATCATTTCAACCTTTGGCCAGAAATGTATACTGCTATGCATCACAAACAAAAAATGTGGATTCTGCGCAATGGCAATATTTTCTTGTACAGCCGTGAATGCATAGAAATGTGTGTGTGTTTTTTTATGCTTTTGTTGGTGATTTATATTTGTTGTGGTGTTTACCCATGCCCAGGGACCCACACAAACTCACCTGTACTATCTGCAACCTTGAGTAGAAGTGGGCATGGTAGATGCCAGCGGAGCTCCCCCCGGGGCTGGCGCTTGATTCAGCCCTGTACAACTTTTGTTAAAGGTGGGGACTGTCCTCAGGTATGGTGTCGACCACCAGCCCCACCTCCATATACAGTACCATTCCTTTAAGGCACCATGCACAAGTATTGACATATTATTCTAAGCATTAAAAGCTAATCATTATCCCTCATTGCATGCCTCTATAGGACTGGAAATTAGCATGCCTTTATGCGTTTAATTTCATTTCTGCTTTCAATTTAGATGTGTACATTCTGTGCAAACATTGATATAACATTTTGAAAGGTTTCAGGTCTGTATGCTTATGGTTTATACAATGGTATATGATGTATGTGTACACTACCTGACAAAAATCTTGTCGTTGATCTCAGTTGTAAGATTAAAAAATGATAAATTGACTTCTAGTTGATCATTTTAAAGAGTAGCAGAAGGTAGATTTTCTCCAAAGAATCATCTGTTGAACTGCATCCCAATCATCACAAATACTGCAGAAGACAGGACAATTGTGCTGCCTATTACATTACAAATTACAGGAGAGGGCAAATTCTTCAGCAGGACAGCGCTCCTTCTCATACTTCAGCCTCCACATCAAAGTTCCTAAAAGCAAAGAAGGTCAAAGTGCTCCAGGATTGGCCAGCCCAGTCATCGGAAATAAACATTATTGAGCATTTCTGGAGTAGGCATTGAAGATGAATCCAAAAAATCTTGATGAATTCTGGGAGTCCTGCAAGAACGCTTTCTTTGCCTTTCCAGATGACTTTATTAATATATGTATGGATGCAGTCCTCCAAGCTCATGGGAGTCAGACACAATATTCATTCTGTTTCCACTGCAGCATGACTTTATATTCTATACTGGACATTATTTATGTTAAGTGACAAGACTTTTGTCTAAGCAAAGTCAGACCTTACTGTCCTTATTAAATAATTAAAAATCAAGGCATGATCATATTTTATTTTGGTAAAATAAGCGTGATCTAGAGGACTTTACCTTTCATATAAGCAACTTCTGATACCAAATGATCAACTAGAAGTCAAGTTATTATTTGTTGGTCCTAAAACTTGGAGGTGACAAGATTTTTGTTTGGTAGTGTAGATCTATACATGCAAAAAATAAGAGATGATTCTTATTTTTTCTAATTTTACAATTTGTGTGAATAGTAATTTATTATATAATTTTGTAAACTATTGTACTGATGATTTTAACTTGAAATAGAAACGTTACTTTAAAATAATATACACTATAACATATCTGTAAATGAACAGTTTTCTGCATTTTGTGATATATGCTTTTTAATGCTTTTGAATTGCATTATGGGATCTTGAGTTTCTCCTTAACATCTGTTGAAAAGTTTGATGAAGTGACTTTTATTGACAATTTTAATAGCTTGAAATGATATAGCATATTGTCTGGGTTGATGTTGTAAATCAGGGTACAAATACCTGGTATTTACCTGGTCAGAATGTTTTTCTGTTATTTTAGTTCTCTCTATATTATTTCTTATTTAATCTATTGTTTCAAACTACAGGAATGTCAATACAAGTCACTTTGTTAAACTGCAAAGCTGAATTTTAACAAATCAATAGAGCTAAAATAAAGGTCCCTTCATGCAACTCACAACCATTGAATCCTGTGAGAAAACCTGTGAATCACAAAATATGGAAACTTGTTCATATTTTTAGGTGTTTTCAGACACGTTTTCAGAAACATTCGTTTTTTTTTATTTTAGACAACAAAATACCATTGTTTTCAATATTTGATGGAATAATCCTGGTCTTCAATCCCAACAACTGAAAACATTTCTTATTTAATTGTCAAAATAATTAAAAAAAGATAGTCAAAACTATTTACCGTAAGTTATGCTAATGTATTCCCTGTTTTACAATAGCTGAACTTTCACATATTGGTATGCTTTCAGTTTCACCTCCATTTCCACTATAAATGATGTGTATTTTTGTTAAGATCACAAGGACCGTCTACTATCACTATGCACAAATTCACTTTAAATTTTAATAGATTTCATTTATTTCGCAATACTTCTCAGTTCACCTCAATCCAATAAGTTTATTTTCTGCCTGAATGTGAGTGACATTTACCTAAGAGTTTTACCTTCCACCACAGATATCAATGCGCAAGCGAGGAAGCTGCAGAGAAACCGAGCCAAAGGAACGATGACTCTCCAGCACGGCTCCTCGTTCTGCCGCAGCCTCAGTGAAACCAGCCTTAACCTGGTGGGTTTGCCTGGTGAAGAACCCAAACGCTACTACTCCACCCTCCCTGGACCCATCAGGACACGCTCCGCACGGGACTCTGAGATCCGCAAAGAGAGAGATGGAGGAGGAGTAAAGCACTCGCTCTACCAGTCGCCACACCTGCTGCTCCTTCAGGGCTACAACCAACAGGTCAGCCGAAATCCCAGAGCAAATGAGAAGGGTATAAACAGAGGTCAGAGCCAGCTCCAAATGGGCAGGTCAGCTCCAAGAGGGTGGGACTTGAGTTCCAAATGGGCTGATGAAAACCTCCTAGAGAATTGACTGATCATTTTTTATGTCTCCTACACGACATGGAGTCCAAACTATTGTGTTTTACTAACATTTACAGTGAACCCAACCTCACAGTAACCTGTTGCGTTTTGGTAATGTCTACACCTACCACAACTCTAAATCCAATCTACTTGTGGTGTAAGTCCCTCCCACTTGGAGCTCTCTAGGCTGCAATGATACCTACTTATAGAAAATGACATCACACAAGATGGATGTCATAAAAACAATCCCTTCATCTAATCAGATTACTCAAAAAGGATTAAGAGAGCAAAGAAAAAAAATCCTAGGTCACATATCAAATCAAAGTTAATGCATTTGCAGTAGTTCTCATAAATAAATTAGACAGATGTTTGCGTAATTGGCTATAATTAGCATCAAAAAATTGTACAAAAGCACGCACCTCCCTCTTAACTGGGTGCTCAGCCAAAAGACCCAAAAGGTGCAAAATACATTTTAATCGAAGGCGGCGACGATTTGTGTCAGCTTTTTTAATTTAATAAATTTGTAATTTTGGAGCTTTGGTGTTGCAGCCTTAACAGCATCCACAACAAAAAAGACATCTTTCAAAAACATTAGTATGGTATCATATAAATGCAAAAGGGAATAATATATTGTAACTTGTAGTGTTTTAGCTGTCTTTTTGGTTATAACAATTTACATACATACAGTTAAAGTCAAAATTATTAGCCCCCCATTGAATTTTTTTAATATTTCCCAAACGATGTTTAACAGAACAAGGAAATTTTCACAGTATGTCTGATAATATTTATTCTTCTGGAGAAAGTCTTATTTGTTTTATTTTGGCTAGAATAAAAGCAGCTTTTATTTTTTTAATTAACATTTAAGGGTCAAAATTATCAGCCCTTTTTAGCTATATATTTTTTTCGATAGTCTACAGAACAAACCATAATTATACAATAACTTGCCTAATTACCCTAACCTGCCTAGTTGACCTAATTACCCTAGTTAAGCCTTTAAATGTCACCTTAAGCTGTATAGAAGTGTCTTGAAAAATACCTAGTCAAATATTTACTGTCATCATTGCAAAGATAACATAAATAAGTTATTAGAAATGAGTTATTAAAACTTATGTTTAGAAATGTGTTGAAAGAAAATCTGCTCTCCGCTAAACAGATATTGAGGAAGAAAATAAACGAGGCTAATAATTTAGGGGGGCTAATAATTCTGACTTCAGCTGTACATTCATACTGTACATACATTTATGTTATTGTGTGATTTAGTACAGCACTGAAGTACAATATTGTTATGATTGAGGTTTTATTTTTGTTGATTATTATTTTGCTTTTAATTTTCCAATTTAACAAATATACACTTTTTATCTTAGGGTATTTTCAGTTTTTAAATTTGGGTAAAATAATAAAGGTTCAAATTTTAAATTCCAATTTAAAATAATTAATTCATTTTCTTTTGGATTGGTCTCTTATATATCAGGGGTCGCCACAGCAGAATGAAGACATGCACATTCACACACTACGGCCAGTTTAGTTCAACCAATTCACCAATACTACATGTCTTTGGACTGCGGGGGAAAACAGAGCACCCCAACTAAACCCACGTGAACACAGGGAAAGCATGCCAACTCCACAAATAAATGCCAACTTTGTGCTCCCACATTTAGGAAGTATCTCTCTATGTAGTTGCATTTTTATATTATGTTGGAGTGTTTCTTAAACAGTGTGCATTTCTCAAGCTTTGCGCAGGTTAATTACCACATGATAAGAAGCAGACATGCACGTGAGAGCGGTGGGCGGGGAGAAGCAGCTCATTTTCGTTTAACGCCACAGGCTACAAAAACAGCTACACTGTGTCTCAGACACCAAAATCGGCAGATTCTGGATGCTATAATAAATAATCTGATGGTATTTTGAGCTGAAACCTTACAGACACATTCTGGAGACACCAAAGGTTTATCTTACATCTTGTAAAAGGGGTAAAATAGGTGTCCTTTAATTAATTTATGCACTCTATATAAATGCTACATAGTTTCAGCTGAAATTTAGGTAAAATAATAAAGGTTAAAATTTTAAATTAAAGTTTTAATGAATTAATTCATTTTATTTTGGATTAGTCCTTTATATATCAGGGATCGCCACAGCAGAATGAAGCCATACACACATTCACACACTACGGCCAATTTAGTTCTTCCAATTTACCTATACTGCATGTCTTTGGACTGCGGAGGAAAACAGAGCATCCGGAGGAAACCCACGTGAACACAGGGAAAACATGCTAACTCCACACAGAAATGCCAACTGACCCATCCGGGACACGAACCAGCGACTTTCTTGCTGTGAGGCGACAGTGCTAACCACTGAGCCACCATGCCGCCCTTCAAGTTTTAATCCCAAGCTTGTTTTACCCAACTCTGAGTTAAAACAAGCTAACATTTTTTTATATTGTGCCCCCATTTATGAAGTATCTCTCTATGTAGCAAAGGGACTAAGCCAACAAGAAAATGAATGAATGAATCTCTCTATGTAGCTGCATTTTTATATTATGTTGCAATGTTTCTTAAACAGTATGCATTTCTGAAGCTTTACCCAGGTTAATTAGTAATAAAAACGATCACTTTTCATTTTCAGGATTGCCTGGTTTACCTGTTGAACCGAGAGCAGCACACAGTTGGTCAGGAAACAGCATCAGCACGGCCAAATATCTGCCTGTCATCTCCGGATGTGCTTCCACTTCACTGCCGAATTCGTCGTGCTGCGCAAAGGCGCTCTTCCCCAGACCAGCGGCTTCTCCTGGAGCCCGTTGCTCATGGGAATGTGTTGGTAAACTTCATGCGAATTGAGCGTCCCACACCCCTCCGTCACGGGGATTTGCTGTCCTTTGGTGCTCATTACATTTTCCTGTACAAAGATCCTCTGAGTGCTAAACCTCTCCCTGCCCAAACTCTCACCAGACTTCGTACCCTAGCAAAACTCTGCGATGGTGAGTCTGGAGGTTTGCCTGAGAAAGGAGATGCTTGTCGAATGTGTGGAGCTGTTTTACACGAACCGGCAGCATCCTCTAGACGTAGCTCTAAAGCTCCAGCACGAGGGTCACAGAAACGAAAGCTGGCGCTGGAATTTGAGCGGGCTCACGAGGACGCACTGGTGAACCGGGTGCTGACGCTCATCGAGCCCAGCGGGGACGACCACAAGCTGACACCAGCATATTTGCTTTGTCTATGCATCAAGCACTCAGCGAATACATTTCCACCCGGCAGCTTCGGCAAACTCTTACAGAAAATCGCCAAGAGGATTCAGACCATAGCATGGGTTAGTACTCAAGTCAACCATTTAGATAGGTTTCCCCAGTTCAAATAGTCAATGGATAGTCAAATAAAAAGTCAATTAATTTGAGTAATTATTAGCCAATAATAGTATGGATATTTACACCATATTAGATATTTCATTTATTGGTATTGGTAAGTAGGGCTGCACAATATATCGTGTCAGCATTGATATTGCAGTGTGATCATTTGCAATAGTCACATCGCGTGTACATGCAATGTTGAGTCTGAGTATAAAATTTTGAAATAAAGGCTCTAGTTTTATTCAAATGTGGCTGCTTGCAGTATGCATTTAAATAATGATGGCTGGTTCCTTTACATGAAAGCTCAGATTTGATTATCATATATATAGTATATATATTCGCTATGATACAGATACCGATTTTATCTCCCAGCCCTACCCCAATGTTGTGGGGATGTTGCATTTTGGTTGGGAATCGGGTTGACGTCAGACACCAATGTCAGACCAATGCGGATTTTGGTCACTTTCAAACACAACCTAAAAACAACCAAATACTAACGTCTAATGATGTTACAGCTTGACGTTGTACATTTGTACTTGTACATATTTTACTCCACTACTTCCCTTCAACCTGGAGTCACTACTTTTATTTGTTCTTGTGTATGGGGTTTAGAAAACATCCAACCTAAAATCAACCAAATATCAACATCGAATGATGTTACAGCTTGAGGTTGTGTGGACGTTACCATTATGACGTCTATCAGATGTTGTATTTTTGTTGCCGTACCTGACGAATGAATGTCAGTGTTTGACATCAATATGATGGTGGTTTAAGATGTTGGCTCGACATTGGATTTTGGTCACTTTCCAACACAACCTTAAATCAACCAAATATCAACGTCATTTCACGACGTTGTTGGACATCAAAATAAGGTTGTCCTAAGACGCTAGCTAGACATTGAATTTTGGTCACCTGACATCACAACCTAAATCTAACCTAATATTAGCGTCTTATGACATTGTGTGCCTGCTGGGCAATAACTAGGTGCACTACAGAATGTTACGTTTACACACACATGCACAAATTACAAGTAAAAGGCATCAGCTTTTTACAGCATAATACTTACTACTCACTACTCTTGAGTACTTTTGAAAGGTCTATTATTGTTAATATTTACAACAGATTTGTTTACTCTACTTGCACTACATTTTTAAGCAAGTAATGGTACTTTTACATCAGTCGGATTCTTCAGTACTCTTTCCACCACCGCCGATTAGACCATTTACTGGTAGATCATCTACAACTAAAAAGAGTCTGTTTGTATTGTTACTACAGGATATTTATATTCTGTTTTAGATTTTATTATGCATGAAAATATCCCCGTTTTAACATTCACATCATCTTTACCATCATTTAATGCTCAACTAAAGTTAACGGAGAGAATAATTGTGTAAAAGCAAACACAGCAAGTCTTGCCTCCATAATAAAAATGACTTAATTATTAGTTTTGCATTTAAAAAACAGGATTTATTTAATTCTGTTTATCTGCAGTATATATAAGTCTATTTCTCATTTACATGATCAATCGCAGAGAGGACCCATTGATTTTCTTCAGTGAGGGTCAGCGCTTGTTCGTCACCTCACATGCCCTTTTGTCTTTGTTGACAAATGCATTTGCCGTTGTCCATTTAAACACAACACAATTAGTTGAATCACGTAATTTACGAATGTCCATATAATCTAGTCCCAAAGCGGCCGTCCTGAAGCATTTAATGACTGTCTTCGAGCTCATTCATTATTAAAATCCAATTTTAGAAGGTCAAGCGTCAGCCCCGCTATATAGTAGCAGCCCAAGAAAAGAGCAAAAGAGCCAAGGTTGAAAATGTAGAAATGATACCAAGGTATTAAACCTCCCACATGAAACTATTCACAATTTGATGACATTAATTGCCGTCTGTGTCTGTGTCTCGCAGGAGAAGACAAAGGAGTTGGCACAGAAGCAAGCTCAGCAGTGAGTATCATGTTCAGCCTTATAATACGCACATGCATGCACTTTCAATGTGTGACAGTCTAAGGTCATACGCTGTTAAAGAAAAAAACGCCCTCATCGATTCTGAAGGCATGAATGAAACCAATCAAAGTGTGTTTTTGTGTGGTTATACAGTCAAGATCCTGCCTCGCTGTCTCTGCTCAGCATCTCAGACCTCGTACCAGATCTCCAGTTCATTTTCTTCTGGATGTCCAATGCCATCGAAATACTGTATTTTATCCAGCAGAAATCACCTGCGTACATGCAGACTATTGAGCTCATGGACGATAAAGGTAAGAAACTTCATAATTGGCATCCTGGCATAGACGTTTTTTTTTTTTTTTTTTTTAACCAAAACAAGCCTAAATTTGGGCTGTCAGTGAAAATCTAGTGAAGTCTAACAATAGCTCTAGCAGTCTAGCAAAAGCTCTATTAATAGACTACACTGTGAAAAAATCTGTTAAATTACAGGCAATTACCGTAAAATAACAGATGTAAGTTACAGAAATTTACTGGAAAATTAAAGGGCACCTATGGTGAAAAATCTACTTTTCAAGCTGTTTGGACAGACATGTGTGCAAGTATAGTGTATAGACTGTCATATTGGGGTGATAAAAACACACAGTCCTTTTTTTCAATTTAACAACAAAGAAATGGTGGACCACTTGCAGCGGTTTTCAGACAGACCGCAACTTTACGTAGGAGTGCGGTACCCCCGCCCACCAATATTGATTGACAGCCTCGCGTCACGATTATATCCTCAGTTACTTGTTGCACGTCTGCCATTTTCAGCGTGTGAGTCAAAGTGATATCACTAAAGGAACACCCGTGCTCTATTTTTTTGATGAAAAGCTCATTGGGCTCAACACAAAATCACAAAATCTTGTGTTTGGAGTTCAGGAATGCGTGGCGCGACGATTCGGGACACTTCATGTTTCAAAGACACAAACGACTCAGCTTAGCTTAGCTCTCTCTCTGTCTGTCAGCCTGTCTGTTGCAAACACAGAGCGTAGGAGCTCTTGGCTCCGCCCCCTTGTTACGTTGGGCGGGAAGCCGAAACTGTGATGCAACACGCCCCTAAAACAGCAAACTGTGCAAACCCAACATGACACTTTTTAACACATTATAATAAAAACATCTGAACTGTGTGTTTAACTGAACCTAAACTGACACACTCAGAAGAACCATAATATTAATATTAAATCATAAAAAAGTAGTAAACTATGTGCCCTTTAAATTTAAGGAAGTTTTCGTAATTTAAAGTTCGTTCTTTAATGGTAAATGTTTGTAATTTAACAGAATTTATTTTGGTTTTTTTCTGGCACCTTAGCTACCGGAAAAAACGTAAAATGACAGATTGTTTTACAGTGTAGTGCAGACTATTGAGCTCATGAAAAATAAAGGTAAGAAACTGCACAGCAAGCTTTTTTGGGGCTTAAAAGATGTCTTATAGATTTCCAGATATAGACATTTTGACCAAATAAAATCCTACATTTGGGCTGTCAAAATCTAATAGACGTCTAACATGAGTCCAAAAATAGAATAGACTTTTGAGCTCATGAAAGATAAAGGTAAGAGACTACACAGCAAAATCATTTTTTGTGTTTAAAAGATGTGGAATAGATGTCCTGCATAGACGTCTTGGCCAAAGCAAGCCTAAATTTGGGCTGTCAGTGAAAATCTTATGGACGTCTAACAATAAGTCCAAAAATAGACTAGTCAACAAATCACCTGTGTACATGCAGACTAAAAGCTGTTTTTTGTGTTTAAAAGACATCTAATAAATATCCTGGCATAGACGTCTGGACCAAAAGAAGGCTGAATTTGGGCTGTTAGTGAAAATCTAATAGCGTCTAACAATAGCCCAAAAATAGACTAGTGTAGACAAGTGCAGACTATTGAGCTTATGAAAAATAGGGTAAGAAACCACACAGCAGAAGCATTTTTGTATGTTTAAAAGTCATCTTATAAATGTCTAGATGTCTTGACCAAAACAAGGCTAAATTCGGGCTGTCAGTGAAAATCTAATAGACGTCTAACAAAAGCACAAAACTAGACTAGTCAACAAATCCCCTGCGTACATGCAGATTATTGAGCTCATGGACAACAAAGGTAAGACACTACACAGCAGAAGTATTTTTGTGTGTTTAAAAGACGTTGGGTAGATGTCCAGATATAGATGTTTTGATCAAAAGAAGTCTAAATTTGGGCTGTCAAATCTGATAGACGTCTAACAGTATAGTCCAAAAGTAGAGTAGTTAAGTCAACAAATAGACAGGATTGAATGACTATCTCTAATCTGTCTAATATTTTTAGATCTGTATTAGACTAAATAGCCCAAATTTAGACTTCTTTTAGCAGCAAAAATGTTAAGATGTCTTTTTAAGTCATTTGGTGAACAGAGATGCGTCCCAAGTGACGCACTATGTACTTTAGCGTCTAGAGTACACATTTTATAAGGTTATTTTGACATTCAGCATCAGTGTTTGATAGTCTCGTCATCACAGTTACGTATTTATTGCCTCAACAGTGGAGCACAAAAAGTGTCTCAACCAACCTGTCCTCCAATCTATACAGGTCACTTCCCTGAAATCAATCCAATTGGATCATTTACTAAATTATTATTCCTTTCACAAATCAGACATAATTCATTGCAGGGTATGCTGTCATCTACAGTACATAAAGACTAAGGGATTTGTGTAGATTGATTGATTAATTGATAATGCATTGCAATGTAGTATTGCAAAAATTATGGATTCAATAACAGTAAGTTGTTCAAATGTGTACTTTTAAAGTTTAAATTGTTCTCCAAAGCCATATGAGCAAATGTGGAATACATGCTGCAGCCCATATTTTTTTAAACTTCATATACATACTTCAACATACTGTAAGTTGACTGCACTTTCTAAGTAAAATGAACACTAGGGGGCAGTATGACGGGAAAACCTTTTGTTCCTTTTCACACTAATGATATTTATATGCACATTATCAACAAATACTTAATTATTTTCATGCAGTTCTTTGCACATCTTCATCTATCTATCTACAAATGAAAACATTTCTGGCGTGGTCAGTTTGCTTAGTAGCTCACCTGGTATGGTCACAGCGCAGTTGCTTTAGCAATTACATTTGGAAACACTATTGGTCAGTAGTTCACTAGTCTAGGACTGCATTCCAGTCCAATTTTTTATAGCCTTCATTCGCTAACTTTCCTTCATTTTGTTTCCTTGGATGTACATCACTGATTTCGTCAGGCAATTGTCCACTACTGGTGGAGAATTTGAATAGGTTTTAATGGAATGCCCTAAACTAGGGCTGGGCTGATAAACAATATTGTATCAAATCGTGATAAAATTTATGTCAATAACAATAAGCTCTGGACTTTTTTTTTTACTCTATTTTGATCTAAGAGCCAATCACACAGCAGAAATGTGCAACAATAGGAATTTAAAAGTGTGTTGATATTAGAGATGTACAAAATTTTCGGCCACCGAAAATTTTTCGGACCCTTTAATTTTTGTGGCTTCAGTCATTCTTGGGGTATTCTTTTAAGTCTAGAAGCATTACACAACTTATAATCGACATATACATCGATATTGTTTAATATGAAAAATAATTATCGAGATTGCATTTTTGCCATATCTCTACCCTAAGCCCTTGTGCATGTGGGAACTATACTGTTGTGACGTCACAATCGTATTGTATTCTGGGACATTTAGGTGCTGGAGTGGACATATAAGGCCGACTCGCTCCCTCTGTCATAATCGAGGATTCAAGGATATGTAAATGTAGGCTTCCCTCATTCACTTAAGTTGAACGCACTTCAATATGGCAGCAGGGATTCCCAGAGGGAAAAATGAAGGGATGTTTGCAAGTGCAGCCTAAATGCAGCCTAAAGGTGATCTAAAAAGCTTGGGCTTCTCATGGACATGTACATGAAGGACGTGTATATCAAACGTATAACAAAATGTACTTTAAGTAACATATTTTACATTCATAAAAAATGTAAACAGCGCCTTTTTGTGGAGTTTTTATTTGAAATGTGCAGCAAAGTGTACCTTGAGCAAGGCATTTTAAATTTCACAAAAAGATTAGGCTGAGGGATGTGTCCAATAAACTTAGCTTGAAGATAGTGGATAAAGCACCATCTAGAAAGTCTGCATAATGCATTTAAACAAACCTGCATTTTAACTGGCAATAGTTTTATAACGACCTAACATAAGCATTATTTTTACACCAGCTAGATGGCCCATAACTTTAAAATGTAACTACAAATCATTAGCTACTTGCACAAATTAACTATATGATCTTTTTTTTAGAGCATTTAAAACAGGTTTGTGTTTAGAAATTTCTGTGTCAAGACACTAGTTACACAATTTAAGCAAATAAAAAATAAAATTCAATATAAGCAGATGGCATCAGAGCAGGGGTGNTGCACCGCATGGACAGAACGAAAGAACTCACAGGGAAATGCAAAGGAGGAGGTGTGTGTTCCTTTATTAAAGGTTCAGGACACCCTGGAGAACTTTTTTTTATATATTAACAAATTTGTGTGTGTTGAGCATCAGTTAAGACAATGTTAGCACCTGTCAGCTTTAATTGT